GTGAAAGTTTCAAAAAAGCGCAAAACATGAACTGACTTTTCGAATTTTGTTTGGTCTAGGCGTTTTGCTTTAACACGGAGTTGCGAAACTTACCGAAACGAGCGTCAATATCGGGGTATCGGGCGTGTTGCCGAATTTTTAAATCGCTATAACTCGTGTTCCCTAAGTCTCTCAGAAAAGTATAATATATCGATGGATGCGGAATCGAACGAACAATAATTCCGACAGGTTTTTATTCAATCCCTATCAACCGCAAACACTTTTTTAGGCGGTAACGTGATTTTAAATAATTACGAAAATTACAAAAATGGCCATAACGTGGCAACAATGGAGTCAAATTAAAATTTCTTTGGCATGTGTCGATAGAACGTAATTTTTTGCATCTTTTGGTATAAATACGAGCTCTGTAACTGCATTTCTGCGAAAGTTATGGATGTTTGAAGGTTACGACTTTAAAAAATGGCAACGCTGTTTCCCTGGGGTTCCTGCAAAAACGGAGCTAGGGATAAGCCTTTCTCAACTAGTACTATCAGCCCACAAAGTTTCGTACATTCCGGGCTGGGTACATTTTTCGCCTATATGAATAACCCTCTTTTGACGACGATCTAGGCAACAATCAACAGTTCCATCGATGAGCCTCTTTGAGGCCCCTATGGCCCCCAGTTTGTGGGTGGGCTGGACGAAGAGGAGCGTTTTTACCTTCACCCGTTTTCACCCTTGACGTAGGTCGGTCCCATAGAGAAAAAAAGGAGGTGTTTGCATTTCAGGCATCTTGGAATTTTTCATAGAGTATCTGTAGCTTTGATGACGTCATTGGGTACAGCGACGTTTTTATCCTGTCGATTTTCTTGGAAATGGTGTAACTTAAGGGAAAAAGTCATTCTATAAAAAGTGCTTGAAATTAAATAAAGAGTTGATTTAAGTAAAAAAATCGGACATTATGGTCCGTTTTTACAGCGTCAACATAACCCTCAACGAGCGTCTTGTTTACATTGATGACGTAGGTGGGTACAAATCCTCAAGATGCAAACACCTCCTTTTTTTCTCTATAGGTCGGTCCAACATGGCGTCGATATACCAGCAAAATCCGAATTTCAAAGTATGGAAAACCGACCATAACGCCAGATTTCTTTACTCAAATCATCTCAAGATAAAATTTCGATCATTTACTATGTAGTGACTTTTTCCACTAAACTACACCATCTAAAAAAATCGATGATTAAAAGCGTCCGTTCCGACCTACGTCATCAAAAAAATCCATTATGCCCGAAATGCAAACTCCTATTTCTTCAGTCTTCTCTTTTCTCTATGCCATCATCCTAGACTGCGTTCGTGTAAATGTGAATTTAAATTATTTTACTTTTCCATGACTGCTGAAGTATTATCTTTATTTTGTAGGAAGTGGATTGATCGTTAGCTATGTCATCATCTGGAGATTTTATCAACCCCCTCAGAAAATTCAAACTGGTGTTTCTAGGGGAGCAAAGTGGTATGTTGATCTTCGCTTCCTATTCTCTCCCCATGGATGTTAACCTGTATGTATTATTATTTTAATACTAGGCAACGTGGATGGAGACATTTTTACATCTCAGGATGGGCTTGAGAGATAGTTTCCTTTCTTAGAGAGTCTTTTCACCTCTCATTAATTTTACTAGGAAGGGTGCCATCCGTCTAACTTGATCCATTGAATGCTGCTTTGAGCCCGATTCGAATAACGTGTCTGTTTTTCCTGCATGCGTGGAATAGCCGATTCCTTAGAGGTGTCGTCAGATGAGTTGTCATGTGTTTACTTTCGGTTCGCAAGCGTTTTTGAGTCCCTACTATCCTCATGGAAACATCGAACTCTTGCAGGAGTGAGAACACTAATTTGTTTTTTAGTACTTTAAACTTTGAAACACTTTAATGTTCTAGTTACACAGAAATCGCAACCACATAAGAGTTGCTAGAGGTGTTGTCAGCTTAGTTGACCGTTGTTTACTTTCGGTTTGTAGGCGTTTTCGCGTCACTACTATCCACATGAAAACATCAGACTCTCTCAGAAGCAAGAACACAAGCTTAGATAAGTTTTCAATACTTTCAAACCCTGTAACACTTTAATTTTTAGCCACACTGAAATCACAACCACAAAAAAGTCGCAAATCATAACTGATAAGTATTTTTTTTACTATACGACCATGAGACTGATGTTTCCAATGTGGATAGTAGCGAACGCCGCTTTGTCCAGAGGCTCAAATTCGTTGTTGGCGTTTGCAAACCGAAAGTAAACAACCGTCAACTTAGCTGACGACACCTCTAGTCATAACTGATGTGTAATTTTTTTTACGATATGATTATGAGACGGATGCTTTTATGGTGGATGGTGGCGAACGACGATTTGTGCAGAGGCATAAATTTGTTGCCTGGGCCTACGAACCAAAAGTAAACAAATGTCAACCTATCTGATTGCACCACTACCTCATGCATACTTAAAAAAGGGGTAAGTTATCTCAAACGGGCTCCAAGCATTTGATGTGAGGAGTAATGATGAAGAATTCCCATTTAATATTCGCAGAATAGGAGGAAGCACTAAGACACGGAATGATGTTTTTCAACTCAAATCAAATTCAAATTTTTTATTAAGCAAAAAAGACAAGGTTACAAAAGAGAGAGTCTAAAACAGAGGCGCCGGCGCCCACCCTTAAGATGAATCTACAGCGATGCGTAGTAAGAAATTTTTCTGTGCAGGGTGTGCCACCGCTGTGTTTTGATTTTTTGGTCCATGCCATTAGAGTCCGTACCACCCCATGTGAATCCTTGAGTTTTTTTACAAGTTAAGGGAATTGGTGTTTAAATTGAAGAGTTATAAGTTCTAGCCATAACATTCTTCTTCCTATTGACACTAAAAAAGATGTGAAAAGTATTTTCTGAAGCTCTAAAACTTGATCCCAGAAAAAAATATGGTTAAGCATGATGACCTTGATGCCACCAATCGCGATTGATCGCTCTCAGCAGTCGCAGATATCTCCCTCGCACTTACAGATATCCCACTAGAGAAACTGGGATCAAGTTATAGCTTTTATTATTAAACTTTCAAAGCTCACGTTCGTTTCCAAGCATTCCAGACGTATGCTGCTGGAACTTATGAGTCTTAGAATTTAATATATCTATTGTGATTTTTAAATAATCACTGATTTGGGAGCGGAATTTTAGCAGCGCAACCTGGTGGATTTTTTGGAACCACAGGTGAAGATTCACCCAAAGCTTGTTTGGGTGGGCCCAAGAAACAACATAGAAAAGTGAAAACAGATAACATTATACAAAATTGAAAAGTAAAAATAGATTACAGAATAAGTGATTCAATACATATATACTGAAATAGTAATTAATTAGTGAGAGAATGAGAGGTGGTTGACATAGGCGTGGTTTGGTAAAGTACAGAATTAAATTCAAAAGTAGCACATGGTAGAAATGGAAAAATGGCTAGAACTCGGTACCCAAAGGACTAAAAGTTCATGGTAGCAAAAAAAATTACAGTTATATTCTCCTGGCCCATTCCTTAATTCTAGCCTTGAAGACCCCAGGCCCCTCCCCCAGCACACTCCTTCTGAATTCTTCTGGCATCTTATTGAAAATTGTATAAAGACTACTGGTAATGTTATTGTCAGAAGTAGCGAGTCGCAGTAAGGGGGATCAACAAGGGAAACGTCTTTGGCTCTCCCCGTTCTTGCTTTTGCTCCTTAAGAGCCTGAGCTTCAGAAGAGATTAATTTTGCCACCTCAAAACGGAAGAGATTTGAGAAGTCCAAAACCCCGAACAAGTCGAACACCTCACTTGATGGATAGCGCCTAGGTAAGGCCATGGCTACTTTGATTGCCCACTTTTGAAGAACTTTTAATCTTTCAATGATACCCTCCCAGGTCCCCCCAAAGATAGCTGACTAATAGCAACTTAATACCACTCTTTTTCCCTGACCTTCTGCCTTGCCTTTATTAGACGGGACATGGACTGTAAGCAATGGTTCTCGGGTGGGGACTTGGCAGCACAATTAATACTTTGAAGATTATGCACTGTACTTCGTTCGTTTCTACGGTGTCAGCATTTAAGGCAGTGACATTTATTTTGTCTTTAGAGGGAAAAAAAGGGAGTGGTCACCATTTACGATATTTTTATCCTGTGACAAAGATTGACACTATATGTTGTCAACACGAGCAAAGTCTGAAATTCTAAGTATGATGAACAGTCAGGCTGTTTTTTATGCTTAGTTCAACTCAAAATATATTTCAGGCACATTACAAAGGTCTGTATTTGGAATGGTTTTCTTCCCTAAACTACACAATTTTCAAGGAAATAGATGCACAAAAGTGTCTGTACCCACCTATGTCATTTATGAAATCTAAGATGCCCAAATTAAATCAAATTTATATTTAGTTCACACACTTGGCGAAGCAAGTGTTCATAATTTTCAGACTTGCCATTTTTCCGGAAGTTTGATGACAGAATCTGTTATTGATACTGCCTCATTCTTGATTTCCTTTCAGTCCCTGGTTCAATTCCATGCCATTAAAGTCATCTGGCCTCTTGAATGAGGCAGGATTTATTCTTGAATTCTTCCATTACCTAGGTCTATAGAAAGCTAGATTACAAGCTTAGGCCTTGTCTCCACGGGATGTTTCACGGGATTTGTCCCTGGGAAAAATCCCACTTACGAAGTTAGGAAAAATATTGAGTTAATCAATATTTTCCCCGGTACCAAGTATCGTCCTTGTACCCCTAGGACCCACTGAGAAAGGAAGAAGAAGGGAAAACGAATTTTGCGATATTTTATTCATTACTCCATTGTTAATGTTGGTTTAGTTAAAATAATGTGTTTGATTGTCAATTGAGGGCAATTCGCATTTTAATCCCGGTTAAATATTCGACTTTAACTAATGTATCTTCCCATACAAACTCGTCGCAGGACTGGATGAGCCTCGTCCCTTGGAGACGGTAACTGGGAAAAATCCCAGAAGTTTCGAACTTGGGACAAATCCCATGAAAACGTCCTGTGGAGACAAGGCTTTAGGTAGTTGCATTTTTGCTGGCAGCATAACCAGGGTCTCTAACTTATTTCAACCTGGTCTTACTTTGCGCGTGATATTCCAATCTTATTAAACCAGGTCGCGGAGTTTTTTTCATATTATTCAAAGAAGGTTTGGCAGCTTGGTAATCTGCTTAAAGTTTGTATCAAGTAATTTACCAAACTTTTCAAATTCTTCCCTTTTTGGGGGAGTTATTCCTGCTCTGCAGACACATGCTAATTAATCAAGGCACCCAAGCTTATTCTACCATATATTCTGGATTGTGCCCTCAGAATTGAAGAATGTCCGTTCAACTTGCTTGCCTAGGTAATCCATCCATAGTGCAGTACCAGAGCAGCAGCTCTCAACTCTCTTCACTGTTGCAGAGAAGGTTAAAGAAGCTTAGACATTGAATTATGAATATGAGTCCAGTCAATAGAGCACATATAGGGGCTAAGTAGAGAAAATTTCTGAGGAAACTTTCTGATACATTATTTCCATATATATTTGGTCGTTGAATCCGAATTTCACACTTGTGAACAGATCTGAGGCGAGCCAAAGCCGCCATCTAGAAAAAATGGCCGAAATTTGCGTTTTTCGGCCAAAAAACCGAGACAACTCGTATATCATGGAGTTTACGGCAAAAGAAGTTATTTTCAAAATTAAAGCACCTAAACTTTCCATTCAAACGAGCCCAAGATATTCCAGATTAGAGTACCTTTATAGACCATTATAGACAGATTATGGCCATTTCTGTTCCGGATTTTCATTGGTCGCGTGAAAATAGGCTGACAGAGAGTCCCTTTATGGACTCACTTAGTCTTACGTCACAGCCAGCATTGATTCCTTCGACTACGGTCTCGGGTCCCAAGCAATTGGCTGTCCTTGCTGCACTAATGGCGTTCCCCGTAAGAAACAACTTTCAAATTTCAAAACGAATTTTCGACCTTTTAAACGCCGGGAACCCCAGAGGTTGCTCACGAAATCGATTTTAAAGCGTCAAAATAGGGGGTCCAACCTTTAAAACGCCTCAAATCGACCAATTTCACCCGAGTTATCGCAGTTGAAAACAGGTCTAAAATCATCAGTCTGTCTCTCTCTACGGCCGTTTAGCTGTTTACAGACAAGATTGAGGTTAGAATCATCTTGAAGTTTTACATTTTTCTCGTTGAAACTCATGATATTCCCTCTTAACAAGTAAAATCTATCAAGAAAAGTTAGTTTCCAGTATCATCAAACTATTTCTATGCGCTCATGTATCGACAGAGCCTTAATTAGTGATGAGTATGGCTTCGTTGTGAAGCGTTACCATACTACATACAGCATTTTTTCAATCAACGCTCAGTCTAGCTTCAATGTGGTGACTGTTGTTAATTTTTTCCTCTCTACTGCACGACCTTACGCTTATGAAGGGAGACAGTAAAAGAAAAGTGATGACTTGAGTTTTTCTTAC